ACTCAGGACACTGTAATGAACAAGTAGACAAAAATTCCTGTACTGGGGCACCTGGGTGGCTCAGTCGTTAAGCGTCTGCCTTCGGCTCAGGTCATGATCCCAGGGTCCTGGGATCGAGCCCCGCATTGGGCTCCCTGCTCCGTGGGGAAGCCTGCTTCTCCCTCTCCTACTCCCCCTGCTTGTGTTCCCTCTCTTGCTGTGTCTCTGTCAAATAAATAAATTAATTTAAAAAAATCTTTAAAAAAAATTCCTGTACTTATGGAGCTTACATTCTAGTGGGGGAGTGGGTAGAAAGTCAGAAAATAAATAAGATAAATAAGTAGGTCAGATAGGTAAAACTATAGGATTTTACCAAATCAAAACCTCAGCGAGATACTACCTCACACCAGTCAGAATGGCTAAAATTAACAAGTCAGGAAATGACAGATGTTGGCAAGGATGCAGAGAAAGGGGAACCCTCCTACATTGTTGGTGGGAATGCAAGCTGGTGCAGCCACTCTGGAAAACAGTATGGAGGTTCCTCAAAAAGTTGAAAATAGAGCTACCCTACGACCCAGCAATTGCACTACTGAGTATTTACCCCAAAGATACAAATGTAGTGATCTGAAGGGAGAAGTGCACCCCAATGTTTATAGCAGCAATGTCCACAACAGCCAACCTTTGGAAAGAGCCAAGATGTCCGTCAACAGATGAGTGGATAAAGAAGATGTGGTATACATATACAATGGAATATTATGCAGCCATCAAAAAAACCCCCAAATTTTGCCATTTGCAATGACGTGGATGGAACTAGAGGGTATTATGCTAAGCGAAATAAGTCAAGCAGAGAAAGTCAATTATCATATGGTTTCACTTATTTGTGGAATGTAAGGAATAGCATGGAGGATATTAGGAGAAGGAAGGGAAAAATGAAGGGGGGGAAATCGGAGGGGGAGTTGAACCATGAGAGACTATGGACAAAACTGAGGGTTCTAGAGGGGAGGGGGTTGAGGGATGGGTTAGCCTGGTGATGGGTATTAAGGAGGGCACGTATTGAATGGAGCACTGGGTGTTATACGCAAACAATGAATCATGGAACACATCAAAAACTAATGATGTAATGTATGGTGATTAAAATAATAAAATTTAAAAGAAAAACCAAAAATCTATAGGATTTTATAGACACTGCTAGAAATACAATGCAAACCACATATGTAATTGTCAATTTTCCATTAGCCATATTAAAAAGAAAGAAGAAATAGGTGAAATTAAATCTCATTAAATTTTTTATTTTGGAATAATTCTTGGTTTACACAAAGTTTGCAAATGTAGTACAGAAAATTGCTGTATACTCTTCACTCAATTTTTAAGGTCTTATATAACTGTCAAAATTAAGACACCAACACTGGTACATTACTATTAACTAAATCACATTTATTATTTGGATTTCATCATTTTGCCCATTAATGTCCACTTTCTGTTCCAGGATCCAATCCATGATACCATATTGCATTTAGTTGTCATGTTTCCTTAGTCTCCTCTGGTCTGTGACAGGGGATATTAATTTTAATAATATATCTTATTTAATACACTATATAAAAAATATCATTTCAAACTGTGATCAATATTTACATTATCCATAATATATTTTACATTATTTTTTCATACTAAGTCTTCAAAATCCAGTGTGTATTTATACTTAAAACATATAAGCACTTTCACAGAAAGTACTTAATCTGCATTTAGATCTCACAAGATTTACATTTGAAAAAGTAGATTCACATACTCAGGTTCTAAACATACTTAAAAGTTCCAATAATTGCCCAGAATGTCAGGTTTTAATGAACTTAATTAATTTAAAAATTCAGTTCTTCAAATGCACTAGCCACATTTCAAGTGCCCAATAGTCTACGTAGCTAATAATTACCATATTGAACAGTACAGCTCTAGACCATTCTAAGGACTTTTGGCTTTTATTCTGGGTGAGACAGGGAGCTCTGAAGGGTTTTGAGCAAAGGAGTGATGTGATGTGATTGATTTAAGAATACTCTGCTGTGCTGGAGAATAAGTTGAAGTGAGGCAAAGGCAGACACAAGCAGACCAGCCAGGAGGCTACTGCACTAATCTAAGCGAGTGATGAAGGACTAGGCTGGTACCAGTGAAAATTGGGAAGTGATAGGATTCCAGGAATACGTTGCTGGACCTAACACAATCTGCTTATAGATTGTATGTGGTGTCATGGATGACACCAAAGGTTTTGGCCTAAAAATTAGAAAATTTGGCCTAAAAATTAGAAAGAGATTGTCTTTTACAGAGAAGTTTTTGTAAGAAGCAGGTTTGGGGGATAAGGGAGAAGAAGATTGGAGGCTGTTTTAGACATTTTCAATTTTTAGGTACCTATGAGACAGTTAAGTGGAGATGTTAAGTAGGCAGTGTATATATGATTCTGGAGTTCAGGGGGGAGAGCTCAGCTGGAAAAATAAATTTGGGGGTCATTAGCATATAGCTGATGTTTAAAAATTAAGACTGGAGATTACCAAAGGACTGAATATATAGAAAGAAGTGTTAGGGTGAGGTTATTCAGCAGCTGTATTTTTAGGAAGATTCAAGTTTTGAAATCAGGCCCCAAGAGATCAACAGAATTGGTGGAATAATAATTCTTTCCAAGTAAAAGCAGCGTTAGACGCAACGGTGTAAAGGTGGCGATCACCCAACCATAGTCTACGGCAGATGATTCTCTTCTGCTGAGGTAAAAATAATTAGCCAGTAGATATAGAAAGATGCAGTAAGTGAGGAAGGGCTTTCTTGCTGGCTAAGTAGCTAGCCAGAGCTGGGAATGCGAGGGTTCTAAGGACAGTTTTGGAGTTAACAAGTGACAGCTGTAATCCGTTTCCTACACATACAACCAGCCTGTTCTACCATACAGCATATGTCCTAATGCTGGTACAACAAAGACATCTCTTCGATTGGCAGAGAAGAGAAAGTGTTGCCTTGAATCACAAAGCCACTTTAACAGCAGAGCCCAGCAAGGGTAGATTACTAGGGAGGTGCCCTTTCCCTGAGGGCACCCGAGCTCCTGAATGGGACAAATTCGGAGGGAGGGCGCTGATCAGGCGGGTTCGGGCCGCTGCAATCCAGACGGGCTTGTGAATTCTGCACAGAATTCTGACAAAGGGGAGGGCCTTAGCTTGAAGACGAAGCGCGGAGTTATTTATTTTAGGAGAGCGGAAAGGCACAAATGGAAAGCTCAAGGACAAAAAACACTGAGATTCTTGCGCAGGCCGCAGAGTTGAAGGTAGCTCTGCGAACGAACCGTTCTTGCCATATCCTCCCTAAGCCGGGCAGTGGGGAGGGCGAAGGACAGAATCCGGGGCAGTGCGGCGGGAAGGGCCGACTCAGAGGGCATCTTTTAGGTCCTGATGCTCGGGGCAACGGTCCCCATCACTATTTTCCTCTCACCAGGTAGCTCCGCCCAGAGGTGACTCCCTCCCCGGCAAAAAATTTGGCCTGGTCAAACGAGAAAGTGCAGTAAAACTGGTCTATTGATAGTCCGGGAACGCCCACCAAATACGAGCACCTAGGTACCGCCGGTGGAGTCAGAGCGCACGAACCGCCTAAGGCGGAACTGGCGGATCGCAGGGAGCCGGGCGGTGCTGACGCACACAAGCCAATTACGGCAGACGCTTCCACGTGACTAGAACTGACCAATAGGCAGTCGCGACGATAGCGGCGGGGAAATTCAAACGTGTTTGAGGAGAGGGGTCTGGATTCCATCTTTTCTTCCCTACTCCGCTTTCTGGCGGTGAGTTCTCCCTCGCGGGCACACCGAGGAACGGCGGCGGCCCGTGTGTGGGCTCTTTAGCCACAAGGGTCGGTGAGTGGTTAGGGCGCGGCGGGGAGGACTCAGAGCCTGGTAGAAGACGTAGGGCGCGGCTAAACGAACTGAAGGGGGAGAGGAGGTCTCGCTGCTTCCGGCAATCCAGCGGGTGGTGAGGGAAATTTTGTTGAGGACCCAGGAAACAAGAGGTGGGTGTGTACCTCGCTGAAGAGGGCCTGGAGGGCACCTGGGGAGAGTTTTGGGGCCATGAAATCGTCTCCCAAAAGACACGCCCTCTTGTCTGGTGTTTTAGAACAGGGAGAGGAGACAGTGACCCCGTTCTGACAGTTACCTTTTGAACCTGACTTCAAATAGTGGTTTCTAGCTGCCCACTTTATCGCCCCTTTTCATTGTCAAACTCGAGGTCAGGGGCGGCATTAATATCAGTTACCCTGGGCTACTGGGTTAATGTCTGAGAATCACAAACCTGAGATTGACAGGAAGAACGACTGCAGACACTTTGTAACATCACCACCGTGCAGATGAGCAAGTGCTGGTGCTATAAGAATGCAGTAGATTTTTGGTTTTAGAATGATTAAGATAGCAAATCATAATTCTGCCAGATAGGCATAAGAACAAGCCTTCTGATACCACTTTATCAATAAAAGGCAATAATGTGTATATATTCTGCTTTGAACGCACTTGCAATGTGCAGGCTTACTCGCATACAGCAGGTGAATAAAGGAATGGTTTTCATTATCAAAAATATTCTTTATGTCTATATGTCACTACCAGAATCCAAGCAAACACTCCCTCACATTTTAAAAAATGACTAAATTTGCAGATGGCCCAGAGGAAATAATTCTGGAAAAAGAGTGAAAGGAAAGTGTGGGAGAAAAATGGAAAGTTTGAAAGCAAGGAGGGGCAGCAATTTCTGTGTTGTGCAATGACTTCACTGAAGTTCTGTTGTGAAGAAAAGGTGTATCTGGCCTATTGGAAACCTTGCTGGACAAATTACAAGGATGTGCTGTTGTTTTTATGCGCATAGTTTCACAAATACTACTCTGATAATACATGTGTTTAGATGTGTTCGTATAACTAATGCTTTCGTCTTCTGGGTTCTAAAAGGCTAGCTGAGACATATTTTCTTTAATGCTAGTAAAAAGGAATGATGACCAGTTCAATTTTTTTTTTTTTGCCTTAGAAATGGAGGCTGAGGATTTAAGTGGCAGAGAATTGACAATTGATTCTATAATGAACAAAGTGAGAGATATTAAAAATAAATTTAAAAATGAAGACCTTACTGATGAGCTAAGCTTGAATAAAGTCTCTGCTGATACTACAGGTGAGTTCCTTTTCTTTGAGTGCCTGCTAAGGTAAAGGAATGAAGTGTTAACCACTTGTATTTCATAAATGTAATTTTCTCAGTAATTGTTACTTGCCAGTTAGTCTACAAACACTTTATATTTTAAACCTTCTGTGTGGAAATGTTCCACAATTTTCTGCTTAAAAACAGAAACTTATTACAGTATGCTCTTAACTCTTCCATTACTGTCAGCTGTTATTTCTGTTGATACGCCTGCCATCAGTAGATATGCCATTTTTTTCCATTCTTTTTTTGCTGCAAACTGAGAAAAACATCATGAATCTTAACGAAATTATGGTATAAACTTAAAGTCAAAACTCCATTTTTGATAGGGGAGAATCTTCCTATTACTCCCCCTTTAATTCTCTTCTCCTTTGCTTATTACTCTGTTCCAGCGACAGTGGCTTCCCTGCTATCTCCTATATTCTAGACCAGCTTATATCCCAATCCCTTTGTTCTTGCTCTCAGCCTTGAACACCACTCCCAAGATAATCTGCCAACTCTTAGCTTTTCCAGGTCTGTTCACAGGTCATCTCGGTAAGGCCTTTCCTAGCTCACTTAAAATAGCAACCTACTGGTGTGAGCATGTGTATCCTTTCCCTGTATTATTTTTCTCCATAGCATTAATCACCTTATATCTAATTTACTCATGGATTTGTTTGTCTGTCTCCTCCACTAGAACATGAGCTCCATGAAGGCATGATTTTTATCTGTTTTGTTATATCTACAGGGCTTAGAATGTTGCCTGACATGTAGTGGATACTTTATATTTTTATTGGATGATGAATCAGTAAAAGTGCCCAAAGTTTAATACCCTAGCTTTATGAACAGTTAGCTCAGAAGCCTAATTCTCTATTTCAGATTATTGAGATTGTTTTGAAAAGTGACCTTTGGATAAATTTGTTATGTCTATACTGACCATTAAATGGATGAGGGATTAAGTGGAAGAACCTGAAATCTAGTCATGATGGTAGATCATATTCAATTGAAACAACCTAGAAAATGATCATTTTGGTGTTAAGCAAAATCTAAGTAGAATATTACCATACTTTATTATGTGTACTTAAATAATGTTAAACCTTGCACACCAAGATGAGTCCTTATTTAAAATTCTTAGCTTGGGGCACCTGGGTGGCTCAGTCAGTTTAGCGTCTGCCTTGGGCTCAGGTCATGATCCCAGCGTCCTGGGGTCAAGTCCCATATTGGGCTCCCTGCTTGTCGGGGAGCCTGCTTCTCCCTCCTCTGCCGCCCCACCCCCCTGCTTGTGCTCTCTCTTGCACTCTCCCTCTTTCAAATAAATAAATAAAATCTTAAATAAAATAAAATTCTTAGCTCACTCAAAACTGTGAATACTTAACATATATTGATAACTGGGATATAAGACATTATCATAAGTATTGAGGGAAATCCAAAGATTAAAATCATTGATCTATGTGTCTTTTTGTGCCAGTACCATACTGTCTTGATGATTACAGTTATGTAATAGAGCTTGAAGTCCGGAATTGTGATGCCACCAGCTTTGGTTTTCTTTTTCAATATTCCTTTGGCTATTCGGCGTCTTTTCTCATTCCAACACAGTGGTTTTTAGACCTCTTGCAGACTAAGTTCTTAGGAGCTCAATGGAAGGGAGGTAAAAAAATGGAAAATGAAATTAATATCAGGCCAGATTAAATTTAAAATAAAAAATCAGAGTAATGAATATGTTATGTTTTAGTAAAAAGCAGAAACAGTAATTTTGTTTGTTAAAGCAAAGATTTGCCCTTTTTGAAGGCAACTGAAACTGATAGAAGGAATGATAGTTTCTTTGGGAAATCTGAATTTAATAATTTATTGTTTAGTAATGACTAAAATATCCTGAACAGGAGACTGACATTAATTCAATTTGTCCTTTTAAAACAATTGACAGTAAAGAAAGTAAAAAAAAAATAAATTACAACATGAAAATTATGGAGAAATATGGGTAACTTGCAGGGAGAAGAAAATAACCATACCAGTTACTTATCTTTTATAAATTGTTTTTAATTGGGTTAAAGGTAAGTTTGAGATATATGGAGATAATGTTGGATGGGTGAGGTTGTAAAGAAGGTTATGTTAGGAATGGGGCAATAAGTTTTAAAATTTTTAATGAATAAGTCATTGATGAGGAATTTTCTAACAAAGTTGTTACAGGTGGTGGTGGGAGAGACTTAGGTTTTCTTCGGATAGTTAGGGGGCTGAAATAGAATTATGTTGCTAGAGCATAAAATTTTCTTAGACTACATATGGCCTTTTAAAAGCTACTTATAAAAGAGCTTATTTCCAAAGTTTTTCTTTCCTTCAAAATATGTAACTTTAGGAATAAAATAAACTCTTATAAAGGCATACATGCAGTAAATAAGTTGCTCATATTTATAGGAATTGTTAAAGTTTTATAGTGTTTTAAAGAGCTTATGTACATTTATACTGAGAATATAAATTATTAACTAATTTGAAAGGAGAGTGCAATTTGGCATTTGTTTTGGTATATTTTGTTCCTCTTATTCAGATAACTCGGGAACTGTTAACCAAATTATGATGATGGCAAACAACCCAGAGGACTGGTTGAATTTGTTGCTCAAACTAGAGAAAAACAGTGTCCCCCTAAATGAAGCTCTTTTAAATAAATTGATTGGTCGTTACAGTCAAGCAATTGAAGCCCTTCCTCCAGATAAATATGGCCAAAATGAGAGTTTTGCTCAAATTCAAGTGAGATTTGCTGAATTAAAAGCGTAAGTATTCACTTATTAACTACATTAACTACATCACATTGCACATAACTACATTATAAAAGAAACATGTCAGGATTAATTATAAGAAAATTAATATTTTTTAACCAAATCCCTTTGTTTATAATTAACAAGTGAGTATTGTAAACTCTGTTTACTATGTACATATTTCTACAAAAGTTACATATTCTGGACTCCGCCTAAAAAGATTTTAAAAACTAACTGATTAGTATTTAATTTTACAAACAGAGAAAAACATGCCATGTCCCTTGGAAAATTGAATGAGGAGTTATCAAACTTAAGTAGCTATGTCCTTCTTCTTAAAATTTGACTCTATAATCTTTATTACAGTATTCAGGAGCCGGATGATGCCCGTGACTACTTTCAGATGGCCAGAGCAAACTGCAAGAAATTTGCTTTTGTGCATGTATCTTTTGCACAATTTGAACTATCACAAGGTAATTTGAAAATGTCAAGTCCAAATTTTAAGTAATAGATAACTTCCTGCTGTAACTCAGACTGTAATGTTAAATCATACATATGAAGTAGAAATTTGAGGTGAAAGGCATGGAAGTTGATAAGATGAGAATATGGGGGAAGAATGCCACCAAAGTGTAAATGCAGAGAATATCTGTTATACTAGCTTTTCTACTTGTAAGGCATAATCCAGGGAAATAAGCATGAACATCGTATTTGTGCTATTAATTAGATTCAGGAAATGCCTAAGGAAAGTGGCTTTTTCACTGCATACTTGTGCAGTAGAAGGATATCAGATACTTAAGTTAGCACTTAGATAAACTTTCCTTATGCTATGGTTTCATACTACAAAAATATATATCAAAATATAATTATAGCATTAATTGGTACTTCCCCCTTTTTAATTAAAAAGAAAAGCAAACTGCTGTAGAAGCTTTTATTTCTTGTTTTTTTTGATTCTTGCATAGTCTGGACTTTTTGGACTTTTGGATAGAACCATGGCAATCTCTTCCTCAGACATTTTTAGCCTACCTATTCTGTCTTTTCTTTTTCTCATTTTCTGGGACTTTTGGATCCGTGCTCAGTCTGCCCTCTAGCCACATTCCTAATTTTCCCTCTGCTCCAGCCCTGATCCCATTTACTACCAGTGATACACATAACACTAACTGGTTTGGCTCAGCCAGAATCCCCATTATCGTGCCCATAGCGGGGCTCAGTCACTGGAGTGTATTTCCCAGGACTGAGGTTGGAGAAAAGCATTGTGAAAACTCAGGAAATGGTTTGAAAACCCTGGACTTTTACTTATTTATAATATTTCTGAGTCCTAGTTATCTGAATCATCTCTAATCTATCCTGTGTACTGTCAGGTGACTTAAAAAAAAATTCATTCCTTTTTTGCCTAGGAAAATTGATTACTCCTTGCTTATTAGAGTAAGTTTGGCCAGACCTTTAATACCCTCTCTCCATTTTACTTAAAACATTTGTTGAAGTATTATGGCCTATCAACAGCAACTATAAATTTTCTATCTTTAGAACATATAAATATTGAAAATCTCAAATTTTGTTATCTGTAAAAAAGAAATAAACTTTATCACTGCAATGTAGTAGTGGCCTCAAGGTCAAAATTGTGATTATTTTGAACAAGGTTATGAATAGGCTCTCAGGAAATATACACATCTCTGAAATCCTATGTGTAATTTGGTGTGTATGTATATTTTTGTAGTGTTGGAAGACAGTCCATAGTTTTTATCAGACTCTCGAAGGGGTCTGTGACCTTATTAAGCTCCCTAATACTAGTTCTTATCTAAGCCTGCCTTTCTTTTGCTGCCCTAAAATGCTCAAATCCTGAAATACCAGTACTCTGAATAAATGTATACTTAGCCACTATCAGATAGATTTATATTCTTAAAATTTGTAAACTGTCAGAAACTAGAGGCCGTCTCTTAATCATTTTTAAATCCGAAGTGCCAAGTGTGTAGCATAGCTGAGTGGCTCCCATAAATGCTGATAACACATTCCATATGATCCATGATGTATACATTTGATATTTAGCAATCAAATTCTAGACAAAATATATTAAGTTTGCATTTGAAAGGAAATTTGATGATTTATTTGTAGTCAGATAATTTTAGTAGTCTCAATTATTTTGCATTTTTGGGATAGTATAGCTAAGTCTGGTAGCTAAAGACTAATCTTTGTCATTACTTTTTAAAATAGGAGTCCTTTTGATAGAGAATTCCCTTTAGCAAAAGATGTCGACCTTAATAACTAAATGTTGTCATGAATGATAATTATTATACTGCACTGTAATAGATTGGTGTTCTTGGGACTATAGTAACATCTAGGGCTTAGTTTTCCCTTTTACTAAGTTCCTTAAGTTTCTGTTTTATTTGGTTTTTGCTACCCCCACTTTATACTGCTTTGTTATATTTCTTTTACTTTTGAAAATGGACAATGATGATAAAGCTAATGCATAATTATGTTAATTACATATTACATAAGTAAACTATTTGACAGGAATTATTACCAAAAGAGAAACTGCTTTTATTTGCTTATGAAATAAGGTACATGAATCTTGGATCTTGGAATAAATATTTTTGCCTAAGCCTTTTAAATTTTTCCCTAGGTCCTGATGAATAAGTATCTGGGGAATGAAGATTACCGCATTAAAATGACATTTATTTTTTACTTTGTTAGGTAATTTCAAAAAAAGTAAACAACTTCTTCATAAAGCTGTAGAATGTGGAGCAGTACCACTGGAAATGCTGGAAATTGCCATTCGGAATTTGAACCTTCAAAAGAAGCAGCTGCTTTCAGAGGAGGAAAAGAAGAGTTTATTAGGTAAATGTATTAATGTGTGCTACTACTTTTCTGTGGTAGATTGTCTGTAAAAAAAGAATACAGGGTAGTATTTTATTTATTTTTAAAGATTTTTTATTTATTTGAGAGAAAGCATATGCACAAGTGAGGTGTGGAGGGAAGGGGGGAGCAGAGGGAGAGGGAGAAAACCCTGGACTTTTACTTATTTATAATATTTCTGAGTCCTAGTTATCTGAATCATCTCTAATCTATCCTGTGTACTGTCAGGTGACTTAAAAAAAAATTCATTCCTTTTTTGCCTAGGAAAATCGATTACTCCTTGCTTATTAGAGTAAGTTTGGCCAGACCTTTAATACCCTCTCTCCATTTTACTTAAAACATTTGTTGAAGTATTATGGCCTATCAACAGCAGGGCTCCATCCCAGAACCCCAGGATCATGACCTGAGCTGAAGGCAGACGATTCACCAACTAAGCCACCCAAGTGTCCCCAGGATAATATTTTAAAGAAAAATACCATCTTTGTAGAATGATCAAAATCTAAATTTTAGATGTAAAGGAGGTAGGACTTTTAGAAGTAACAAAATATTTATTAACCCTTTTGGAATTTTTTTTTCCCCTAATCAAACTCATTAGTAACACATTAAAAACAATCTAAGCAAGAGGTTAGGGGTGCCTTTATTCTGGGGAAACAGGTATGTCATGAATCAGTTGCGAAGTATAGTTAGAGGATTATCTTCATAACATCTTCATGTCTGCATATCTTATTTGAGGACAAATGTTTACCATAAATTATCTTTTTAAATATTCTTATTTCTGAGATTACTTTTTTTGTGTATTCCTTATATCTATGAATTTAATTACAATTTAAAAATGTTTACAACATCTACAGTATTGACTGCTCAAGAATCATTCCCCAGTACACTTGGACACTTACAGAATAGGAACATCAGTTGTGATTCCAGAGGACAAACTACGAAAGCCAGGTTTTTGTATGGGTAAGGAAACTAAATCTGTTTTTTAAATGTTCATCATATATTTACATTATTTATACACCTGCATATGTATTTTAATGTTACGGTAATAACATTAGCAATTAATAGAAATACATATGTTAATATTATTCTTTTAAAAATTGGGGTATTTTATTTCTGTATAGAGAGAACATGCCCCCTCAAGATGCAGAGATAGGTCATCGAAATCCCTTGAAACAAACAAACAAAGCTAAACGAGTAAGTTATTTTTAATCTACCTTGATTAAAGTGATAGCAGTGAGGTATATGTTTATTTCCTAGTTGGTTACTTAATCTTTCAAAACATTTTTAGGCATGCCCATTTGGAAGAGTCCCAGTTAACCTTCTAAGTAGCCCGGATTATGGGAAGACAGATGGTTCAGTTGTACCAAGTTTTACAAAAAGGTATGTTTGAATTTTAATTTTTTGTTTTCAATACTTAAAGATTGATGATAGAATGGTCACAAAGTCTTTTATTGCCTAATAGTAATTTTGATTAAATTTTTATTTAGTATTAAAGGTTACCAAGTCTCTAAATGCTATTAGGAAGAAAGGAATGACTTTATTTTACTTTTTCACTCATTAAAAATTAAAGGAATGGGAGTGCCTGGCTGGCTCAGTTGCTGGAACATGTGACTCTTGATCTTAGGGTTGTGAGTATGAGCCCCATGTTGGGTGTAGAGATTACTTAAAATCTTAAAAAAAGAAATTGAATGATTAACAAATTAGGAAACACAGCAGAAAAAATACTAGGTCAATATTAAACTTAAAAGTTTATGCAGATGTTCCTGGGGTAAAAACTCCTGTTTGGACATTTCTTGCTGATGGATAGCCTCTCTGGTAATAATCTCTTCCTCATGTGTATGAATGTCTTCATAGCAGGGGCAGGAACAATTTCTTTGCTAGCAGGTTCAAGGAAAAGAGCTCCTATCAATGGGAAAGATGATGAATTCACTCATTTGCTTCAGAGCCCAGAGTATCAAGAGGTGGAGAAGGGCAGGTAGAGATAAAATATTGTTCATCACATCCAGTGTGTTCTCCTTCCTTCAAGTTGAGTGTTTATCCCCTTAAAGGAAGTGGGAATCTAGTAATCCAGCTTAGCTAAGGAAGTTTTTCTGTTCTGTTCTTATCTCTAATCATTCTTGATTTCTTATTTCTATTAGAAAAGGCTCCTTGGATTCCAGAGAATCGTTTTGCAAATAAACTTCAGAAGTACACCTGCTTGTTCTTAGTTGACATCCTCTTTAATTAAAATCCTGTCATGCTTAGGGCTTGACTAAAGATAGATACTAAGAGAGGATTTTGGTTATCCAAAATCTTATGAGATGACTTTTGTCTTCTCCATTTCAAATACCTAGCTGAAGAATAAAGGAGACTTTCTCCCACTATAAAAAAATAAGAACAAAAACAAACCAGCCATTTTCTTGGTGCTTGTTATGTTAGACTATATGCTAACCACTGTGGAGGCCCATGGGAAGGCTTATACTCTAGTTCTTAAGCTGTTTGCAATCTGAAGTGTAGTTTCACCTACATACTGCTGTCCCATTCTCCTTTACTACAGTTATACTTAGCTGCAACTCTTACTTAATACATAATGAAGTACTACTTACCTCTATCCCTTTTGTCATTTCCCAGCTCCTAATTTAGTTATATTTGTACTATAATCATGCTATTTTTTAAAAAAAATTTTTTTTTCAAGAGATCTTTCCAATTAAGTGTACATCTTGCTAAAAAGTCAACTTTAAAATGGAAAAAAAAACACACTGAAAAGATTAATTTCAAGGTAAGCATTAAAACTATTTTGTTTTGTGGGTAATAGACAGACCTCTGGATCAGAACGCCGAGATATGATTGTGCCTGGATCTAAATCAACTGGAAATGATTCCAGTGAATTGAGACATTTAAAGGTATTTTAATTTTTAAATCTCTACATGGAGCAAGGGTTCCTGATCCAGGATTCATGAAGTTTTTTCTGGGAAAGGGGTCCAATGGTGTTTCTGCAGTCCCGAGAGATACAGGACTACTAATGGAAAGTGATACAGAAGTCCTAAACTGTTCCTCCAAAACTGAGGTGGTAGCAAAATGATCAGTGATCTCCTGGGATAACTTTGAAGTAACAATTATTATGCGTATGTTTAAGCAGATTACTTGGCCTAGATTTGGGAATAGGTTAGGGAGCCATTCCCCCCAGTTTTTGTTTCTTGGTGTGTTTAATCATAGGATCTGACAAGGCATCTTATACAGCAATGAGGGTAAATGTGATGTGTCTTTGTAAATTCAAAAGATACAATTTTATTAGTCTCTGATGCACTGATTTTTAGGGGTTATACTATTCTTATTGTACTTGAGTTCAACCACTGAACTCACAATGTGGGTCTTTTCAGTTTGTATTTTTTGTGATTCCTCTCTTTCATGGTCTATGCTTATTTTAACTAATCACAGCTATCTTAGAGTATAGAAGCATAATTATATCAAAAGTTTACTTTTTGGATTTAGAATAATTACTGTTTTAGACTTACACAAATCTTAATTTTCACTAATGTTATTTTTGGGATAAAATATAATCACAGTAACAAAATAATGAGGCATGTCTTATGTTGGATTCAAAATTTCAATCTCTCTTGGGGCGCCTGGGTGGCTCAGTCATTAAGCATCTGCCTTCGGCTCAGGTCATGATCCCAGGGTCATGGAATCAAGCCCCGCATCGGACTCTCTGCTCGGCAGGAAGCCTGCTTCTCCCTCTCTCACTCCCCCTGCTTGTGTTCCCTCTCGCTGCGTCTTTCTCTGTCAAAAAAATAAATAAAATCTTTAAAAAAAAAAAAAATTTTCAATCTCTCTTTTTAATTGAATATATTTTAGCAGTTGATTATGTCCATTGAAAGCACATTGCCCAAATATATGGTTATGGACATTCCCGATGCTCTAGTCAATAATTCAAGAAATTAATCTGTTCTCAGTTTGTGAGTTTACATCTGATAATAGTAGGTAATTTAGTTAGCAATCTTTTCACGTAGATGAGACTTCAGTATTTCGAACACTAAGACAAATTAGTGCTGTTGTTGTTTATGAGACTTTATTTTTTTGATACCTTATTCTTTTTATGTAGTCTATTCAAAATATCCATTCCAAGGAACCTCTGATGTTAGATGAGAAGAGTTCTGAACTTATTACTGATTCAGTAACCTTGAAGAATAAAACGGAATCAGGTCTTCTAACAAAATTAGAAGGTAAGAGAAACAAGATAAGCTTCCTTAATTAAGAATACCACTTTAGGGACGCCTGGGTGGCTCAGTCGGTTAAGCGCCTGCCTTTGGCTCAGATCATGATCCCAGGGTCCTGGGATTGAGTCCTGCATGGGCTTCCTGCTCTGCAGGGAGCCTGCTTCTCCCTCCCCCTGCTTGTGCGTACTCTCTCTCTCTCTCTCTCAGATAAATAAATAAATAAAATCTTAAAAAAAGAAAGAACACCACTTTGTTGCTTGTGGAAGTTGACCAGCCATCTAAGAATTACAATGTAAGACTGTATCTATATCCCTTTATCTTGTGTGCCAGTTGAATTAAATAGAATGTATGAAAAAATATTGAATTCTGTAGCAACAGAAGTTTATTTGCCTACAAGGTGCCTAGAAAGAAGAGTGGAGGGAAAGTACAATGGGGCTGAGTTAGATTTCTCAGTTGGCTTGACAAATACTTTCTGGAAAAAACAGAAGCTGTATTGCCTATAGGACAGTTCTCTCTTTTCTCTTTTATCAAACATTTGATTTTCCACCATATGAGTACTATGATAAATTTTCTAAGGGTATATAAATGAATGAGACAGGGTCCCAAGGAGATTGCCATCCAGCATGGAAGAGAGACTGATAAATATAATGCTGTGTAGAGTTTAGAGAGTGTTATGAGAACCACATAAATAAAATACTAAGAATTCAGAGGAGGGAGAAACCTGAAGAACCAATTGGTTTAGGATAAATAAGAAAATGTTTTGTGGAGGCAAAGAAACATGAAGAACTGTTTGGGTTTAAATAGGAAGAAATAGCAGTGATAGAGTATTTCAGATGGAGAGAATAGCAAAAGCAAAAGAATAAAACATTTTGGAACCAAAGACAGTCTAGTTACGTGAAAAACTATAACAGGTCATGTAAAAGTGGGAGATAAGACTAGGTAGACTAAACACCAGGCTTAAAATTTTTTTTGTAAACATCAGAGTACCAATAACGATTTTTGAGCAAGATCACGAATTGGATGATTCTTGCCCAAACAGGTTGACAGATTGACTGTATTTTTTTCATTAATTGGACTGAGGAGGAAAACTGGGACAAACTAGGCTTGCTGAGACTCTTTGGTTTCCAAACTGAGACTTTCCTGGTGTTAGCCCTGGAAGTTCCATAAATCATCTTACCCTCAGTCCCTAACAAACTGGGACTGTTAATTGTCCTAGAATAGTCTTCTTTTGCCATTATTTTGACTCAGAATAGATTCCTATTTCTAGTATTTGGAGGAGATTTTCATGGCATCTGTTATAAACTGGTATTGTTGAAAAATCATTTTTACCAAATATGCTTGTTAATAGTACTAATCTGACACCTAATTTAATGTTTTTCAATAAAAGCTTGTTGAGTACCTACCTACACAGTGCCAGTAATACTTTATTATATAGTAAAACTTCCAGTCACAAAACTGCCCAAATCATAAGAGTATATAGCCCAGTGAAATAGCATTTCAGGGGCACCTGGCTGGCTCAGTCGGTTAAGTGTCTGCCTTCGGCTCAGGTCATGATCCCGGGGTCCTGGGATCAAGTCACATGTCGGCTCCTTGCTCAGCGGGAAGCCTGCTTCTCCCTCTGCCTGCCGCTCCCCCTGCTTGTGCTCGCTCTCTCTCAAATAAATAAAATCTTAAAAAAAAAAAAATAGCATTGTAGTCATACACATTTCTTCTGAGTGTATTCGAAGAGTGGGGTTGTAGGATCACAGGATGTGCATATGTTCAACTGTGGCGGATAGTGCCAAACAGTTTTCTAGAATGGTTGTACTTTTGACCAGCAGTAGTTTGCTCTTGCTCCATATTAGTCCCAATTGTTTTATTGTTGGTTTTTAATTTTAGACATTTGGATGCTGCTAAGTGATAGATAGCTCATTGTGGTTTTAATTTCTGCTTCTCTGATAGCTTACGATGTTGAACATCTTTTTCTATGTTTATTGGCCATTTGGATATCCTCTTGTGAAGTTCTTGTTTGAATCTCTGGCCAATTTTTCTATTGGGGTTTTCTTTTTTTTTCTCATTGATTCCTAGGAGATATTTATATCATCTAGATACATATCCTTTGTTGGATAGATGTGTTACAAGTAACTTTTCCCATTATGTAGTGAAGACTTTTTAGGAAAAGAATTCTTAAATATTGTGCATTTTAATTTATCAGTCTTTTCCTATGTGGTGTTTCCTGTCTTTAAACAAATCTGTTCCTATAATGATATTTCCATATATTTTAAATGATTTATCATCTTGCCTTTCACATTTAGATTTATATTCTATCTGAAATTAATATTTATATGTAAGATGAAGTATCAAGATTCTGTTGGTTTTTTTCCCCATGTAGATATCCAGTCGGTCCAGCATCATTTATTGAAAAGACCCTCTTTTCCCTCAGAAAATTATAAATTAGATGATCCTGTGTGTGATGTTTGGTTTTGGATTCTTTGTTTCATAGTTCTTTTTATCTGTCTTTGTGCCTGGGTTCTTAATTACTGCAATAAGTATATCTGTCAGTTGTAAAATCTTCCAACTTCATTCATCTTTGAGGCTATATCAGCTATTTAGGGCTTTAGGGTTTCTGTATAAATGTTAGAATCTATTTTTAAAAAATGGGATTTTGACTGAGATCCTAACAGGACAGGTTGACATCTTAACAGGTAAGTTTTCTCCTCCACTAACCTGGCATATCCCTTTATTCATTTAAGTAGTATTTAAAATGTTATTGAGAATCATTTTCTGTGTTGAGACTTTTCTTATCTTTTGCTAGAGTTATTCCTAGATATCTGACATATTTTTGATGCTGTGATGAATAGGATCTTTTTTTTTTTAATTTTTTTATCCTCTACTTCTTGTTGTTGGTATATAAAAATATAACTGGTTTTAGTTATTGATCTTAAATACAGTGATGTTTGCTAAATTTACAGAATAATTCTAATATTTTTCTATGGATTCTTTCATGCTGTTTGAAAATAACATTTTTTTCCTTCTAATTCTTTTAACCTTTTTTTTTTTTTCTTGCTGTATTGCACTTAACACCATAATGATGAATAGAAAGGATGATAGATGGCGATCTTAACTCATTCCCTGTTGTAGAGGGAAGCTTTCAATATTTTATCCTTTTATGATAATTGCTATAGATTTTTGTGGCTACTGTTTATCAAATATCAGAACAGTGAATTTTACTTTATACTCAGTACTGTTAGGTTTTTTTTTTTGTGACTGAGTGTTGAATTTTATCAAATGCTTTTTCTGCATTTGAGTTGATCATATATTTTTCTTCTCTGTTGTGTTATGGCAAATTAAATTGATTTTAAAAGTTAATCAAACTTTGTATTTAGGAATAAACAACTTGGTCATCATTATCCCTTTTGTATATCAGTTACAAATATTTGTTTAGGATTTTTGCATTTATTATGGTAGGAATGAATATTGATAATCATAGGAGAGTAAATATATTGTTGAGGCTCTTTTGTTCAGAGACCATTAAGAAAATAAGATACAGTCTAGTTTAAGGTAAAATTTTTGTTAAAAAACTAGAGGTCTATGAAAAGTAGTGGATTAGCTTTTCTCTATTAGCAAGACCTTATGAGGTATATATATTTTTAAATTTTTACTTATTTGTTCGGTGTTTGCTGGTGAAGACCAGAAGTATTTAAATTCAGAATGGCTTCTGATAAAGCTCTAGGTAGCAACTTAGGAAGATGGCTGTGGCACCTAAGTAAAATTGATTTGCTAAAAACAAATTGTCAGCAGCTGGCTTAAAGTTTTTAGTTTTCCTTTTTTTGTTTTGTTTAAGAGCAAAGTGCTAATACAGTTTGTAACATGTTCTGTAGTTCAGATTTAATCTTGTTATTATCAAATATTCTTTCCATTTATTGATAATAACCACAAATGCAATTTTAGAAACTAAGGAACATCAAGAACCAAAGGTTCCAGAGAGTAACCAGAAACAGTGGCAGTCTATGAGAAAGCCAGAATGTGTAAACCAGAATCCTGCTGCATCTTCAAATCAGTGGCAGATTCCAGAGATATCCCGAAAAGTTGATACAGAGGTAACTTTCTTTTCCTCTCAAGTGTAGCATTGCCGTTGTTTGTAATGTGGATGATCATGTTAAATGTTTTCTTCTTTTATTTAATCCTTATGTACCGTAGTTAGTGGAATAGTTTAAAGGTTTTTTTTATTATTATTCACAAAACAATGATTACTAATAGTCACAGATTCAGTAGAAGTGTATGTTAAGCGGAAGTCTTTTATTTTCAGTGGTGTTTCTAGATTTCTGGTAAACTGGTGCAAGGGGTCAGCAAACTACAGCCTATGGGTCAAATCTAGTTCCCAGCCTGTCTGTAAAAAACGTTTTATTGGAACACAGCCATGCCCATTCATTACTGTCTATGGCTGCTTTTGAACTGTAAAAGCAGAGTTGAGTAGTTGAAATAGAAGCCACCTGTCTTAAAAAGCCTCAAATGATTACTTTCTTGCCCTTTACAGAACACGATATGCTGATTCCTGAACTAGTGCAATGCTGTACCAAAGCATTTGACAATTTCCTTTTGACATCCCCATGGATAAAATAGGATAATATAGACTAGACAATATATATGAATTTATAACAGGTTGAATGATCATTCCTAGTGGCCAGAGGTCATTTTAGAAGGAATAATCTGGTAGGCTACTAGAGAGCCATACCTATATAGTCCATGGCTATACTTTCCTCGCTATTTCTTTTCAGTTATATTCTAACTGAGTGGTTCACACATATTTTGGTCTTGGGGTCCTTCTTATACTCTTAATTATCAAGGCCCCTAAAGAGCTTTTATTTATGTAGGTTATATTTATCTGTATTTACTATATTAGAAAATAGAACTGAGACATTTTAAAAATATCTAATAACTTATTAAAAATAATAAATCCATCACGTGACTATAGATATACTTTTAAGAAAAATAAGTATTTTTGTGTTTTCTCTCATTGAGGTATAATTGACATATAACATTTGTTTCAGGTATACAACCTAATGATTGAATATTTGTATTACGAAGTGATCACCACAAGTTCAATTAATATCTGTGGCCATACAGCTACACAATTTTTTTTTTCTTGTGAGAACTTACAAGATTTACTCTCCTAGCAATTTTCAAGTATGCATATACTATTAATAACTGTAGTCACCATGCTATCTTCATAACTTGTTTATTTTGTAGTTAGAAATACCTTTTATCTTTTGACCCCCTTCACCCATTTCTTCTGCCAACCCATCCCCACCTCTGGCAACCATTAATTTGCTCTCCACATCTATGAGGTTGTTTTAGATTTCACATATAAATGATACTATGCAGTATTTGTCCATCTCTGTCTGGCTTATTTCACTTAACATAACGCCATCAGTGTCCATCCATGTTGTCACAAATGGCAAGATTTCATTTTCTTTTATGGCTAATAATATTCTGTGTGTGTGTGTGCTTGACATTTTCTTTATCAATTCATTCATCCACTGAATTGACACTTAGGTTGTTACCATATCATGGCTATAGTAAATAATGCTGCAGTGAACATAGGGATGGGTGCATGTATCTTTTCAAGTTAGTGTTCTCATTTTCTTTGAATAAATACCTAGAAGAGGAATTGCTGGATCATATGATAGTTCTATTTTTAATTTTTTGAGGAAGCTCCATACTGTTTTCAATCCGTGGCTGCACTGATTTGCATTCCCACCAACAGTGCACAAGAATTCTCTTTTCTCTACATCCTTGCCAACACTTGTTATTTCTTGTCTTTTTGATAACAGTCATTGTAACAGGTGTGAGGTGGTTTTGATTTGTATTTCCCTGATGATTAGTGGTGTTGAACATCTTTTTATGTACCAATGGCCATCTATATGTCTTTGGAAAAATAGGTCTATTTACATCTTTGGCCCTTTTTCTGGTTGTATTGTTCGCTTTTACTATTGAATTATAGGGGTTCATTATATATCTTGGATATTAACCCCTTATCAGGTATATGATTTGCATATAGTTTCTCCCATTCAGAGGGTTGTCTTTCATTTTGTTAATGATTTCCGTTGCTGTGCAGAAGCTTATTAGTTCGATATTGTCCCACTTACTTATTTTTGCTTTTTTGGCCTTTGCTTTTGGTGTTAGATCCAAAAAAAATCCTTGCCAAGATCGACATCAGGGACCTTACTGCCTGTATTTTCTTCTGGAAGTTTTGTGGTTTCAGGTTTTACATACAAGTGTTCAATCCATTTTTTTTTAA